CCGCTCCTCGGCGACCCGCCGCTTGACGGGCGAGCGGCGCGGCTCGCCGAAGCCGGTCGTCTGGTCGAAGCCGAGCTCGCGCTGCCAGACCTGGTGCGCCGCGTCGCGGCGGCGGTCGTCCGCCTTGTACAGCCAATGCGCCGCCGAGCCGTACTCTGCCTGGTGGTGCATCTCGGCGGTGCGCACCTGCACCTCCGCCTTGATGCCGCGCACCAGCGCGCACGAGTGGAGGGAGCGGTAGCCGTTTGGCTTCGGCGAGGCGATGAAGTCCTTGAGGAGCGCGCCCTTGGCCGTCGAGGCGACGGGCAGCGTCTTGTGCACCGCCTCGAGCACGCGGTAGCACAGCAGCGCCTGCCGCGCCTCCCAGTCCCGCGCGCTCATCCGCTCCGGCCGGTGCCCGTCCGGGGAGAGGGGCCGCGTCTCGGTCGGCATCACCACCAAGCGGAAGGCGAGCAGGTCGTCGAGCCCGTCGACGCTCTCCAGCCCCTTGCGCTCCATCTTGCGCGCCACAGAGACGAGGTCCTTGATGCGCGCGTGCACCCGGATCCACTTTGTCTGCCGCTGCAGCAGCGGGTCGGACGCCAGCGCCGCCTCGATCTGCCCCTCCGCCTCCTCGAGCGCCGGCCGCGCGCGCTCCGTCAGGTCCGCCAGCGCAGAGGAGAGGGCGGCATACTCGGCAGGCCTCCCCACCGAGAAGGCTAGGATCTCGAGCTCCGTCTTGAAGTACCTGAGAGGCGGGCGTGGCAGGGTGTGCGCCACCGTACTGCTTAGCGCGGCATTTGGAGGGGCTCCAGGGAGAGGTGTCTCGCACCACATCCCGAGCCGCTGCGCGAGCGGGATGAACACCTCCTCCGTCTGCTGCGTGAAGACGTCGCGCCGCTGCAGCAGCGCGCGCCACTCGGCGGCGTCGCCGCCGCACCGCTGGAAGGCGGCGCACGCGGCGCCGCTGTCGAACGCACACGCGCTCAAGCAGCCGAGCGCGCAATCCGAGCGGCGAGGCGCGGCGGCCAGCTCGTTGACGCCTTACGGGAAGGCTCCGAGAAGGTTCAGAGAAGGTTCCAGGTGGCGAGGCGCGGCGGACAGCGGTTGACGCCGAGCTGCTGGCCGACCATCGCGCCGTACAGCTCGCGCATCGAGACGAGGCGCGACGCGAGCGCGATTGCAATCGAGCGAGGGTCGTCGCAGCCGGCGAGCATGATCTGGCACTGCCGCTCGAGCTGCTCCGCCCGACTCGCGCCGAGCTCGCCCCCTTCTTCTGCCACGCCGGCGCCAGCGCCGCCGTCCGCACCCTCGGCGGCGCGCTCGAGCCGCGCCGAGAGGCGCCATACCGTCGAGACGCCGCCGCCAATCTCGTCGATGGCGGCGGCCGCCTCCTCTCCGAGGATGGCAGTCAAGTCCTGCGCCGCCACGCCAACCTCCGCCTCGCGCAAGCCCGCCAGCATCGCAGCCTCGATGACCTCTCCGTCGGCCTTGATCGCCGCCAGGACGCGGCTGACCGCGAGGTGGTGACGTAGGGTGCCCAGCTTGCCGGCCGCGGTCCAGGCGCCATAGGCGAGCTCTGTCGTGATCATGAGGTGTGCGAGCGCCGAAGGTGCGAGATGCTTTGCCATGCGGGCGAGCTCGTGCTTGTGGTAACGGAGCTCACTCAACTGCGCGTCATCCAAGCACCACCCCATGGACGCCCTCAGTCTCGCCAGGGGTTCGCCGGCCTGCTCTTTGATCTCTCGCAGCAGCATGAGTGCCGTGGACGGGAGCGGCGACTCGGAGACGATTCCAACCTTCTCGAGAGAGAGGGAGCCAATCGAGGTTGACGTCATCGAAGACAGCGGCGGTTCCACAGCTGCGCGGGCCAAGCAAATCACGTCGGAGCGCATGCTGTGCCCAGGGACTCGCGCGACACCCTCTCGGCACCCCGGAGATTTTATTTCTTTGTGGGAGCGCGCCTTCTTTCGATCGTTTGAAGGCTCCATATGATCTCGGATATTTTTTGTAGGCACCGGAACGCCAAAAAACTAGTATGTCTTCGAGTGAAAAGTAATCCGAGCACACCCGCGGCCGCAGTGAATTAAAATGGGCGGTTTTCGAGGGGGAATCTGGAGAATCTGGGAATCTGCTCACCACGGATCCCCACCTCATCGAAAAACTTTTCACTCCAAGACATACTAGTTTTTTAAGGTGCTCTACAACCTAGGCACAAAAGATATGGCATTGCCGGCCATTTAGGATTCCTAGACGGTCACTGAGTACGCCAAAATCCCCACTGGGCCGGGAGCAACCTTAAGAGGGAGATGTGCGCGAGCTGCGGGACCGCCGGGACGGCGGGCGGGTGATTCGCCACTTTTGGCCACTTTTGGCCACTTTTGGCCACTTTTGGCCACTTTTGGCCACTTTTGGCGACTTTTGGGACGCGCAGTCGATCGGCCGAGATTCGACATGGCAGGCGAGGGCGTCACGGCCATGATCGTGGCTGCCTACGCCGGCGACAACCCGCTGGCGGAGACCGCCGCGAGGATCCGGAGGCGGCGGCAGAGCGGGAGAGGAAGGCCAAGGTGGCGAAGGTCGCCTCGCAGGCGACGAACGCGATGGCGGCAGTGCGGGCGCAGCTCGATTTGCGGGAGAAGGGGGCAGCAGACAAGGCCGCGAACAAGGCCAACGACGACAATACCAAACAACTCTAACACTCACACTTGTGGTCGAAGGGTTGGCCGGGCTGCCCGCGCGCCTTGCAGCCCATATTTAGGCGGCGGGCCTTCTCCTCGGTGTTGCCGAAGCGTAGGAGTGGCCAACGGAGGCGGGCGTGCCGCCACTCGAGGCGTTGCCAGCGCCCGTCGAGGAGGTCTTGAGGAGGGGCGTCCAGAGATTGATTTCATTTACTTCATCGCATCCTCCCGGCCCAGCGTGGGGTTCTGCGAGTCGACCTTGTACCCCTCGTTGTACTGCCGGGTGAGCTCTGGTTTCTCCTTGTCACCGTGCACGACCGGCGCGTTGGCCGGGGCGCGCATCGCGTCCGCCCAGGCGGCGAGGACGCCGTCGTGGGGCCGCCGGTGGTGGGCCTTGTTGTAAAGGTAGTCGCCGAAGAAATCGACTGGCATGCCCCGCTCGAGCGCGACCCGAAGGGTGGGAAGCGCCACGGAGAGCCAAAGGCCAAGCTTCCGCTGGAGCTCGTCCTGGCGGGCGTCGGAGGAGAGGGCGGTGGCGTACGTACCGTCGACACGGACATCGAAGGCCTTGCCGGCGAAAGGCGTTGAGGCGGAGACGAAGCGCGCGGCTTCGCGGTTGTTGACGGCGCTGTCTCCGAGGGACGGGTTGTTCTTGACGTGCACATCCCGCGCCTTGGCGAGCTCCTGGTGCGCGAACCAGTCCTTGTGATTCTTGATGGCAGCGAGCGCCCGCGGCCGCAGGTACGTGGATTTGCAAGTGCCATTGAGAATCGCGTCGGTAGCTGGAAGGGACTCGGGCTCGGGGAGCGGGACGCTCTTGGGGTAAATTTCAGTCAGGTAGCCGCCGCGGACGGTGTAGTACTTGGTTTTGTCACGGGCGGCGCGCTTCTCACACACCTCCTTCCAGTCCGAGAGGGCGGACTCGTAGGTGGCGATGGCTGCGGCGATGGTGGGGTACTTGGACGCACCTCCCTCGTCGAGGGCGAAGTCGGGGTTGTGGGCAACGAGGGTGCGCCAGTTCTTGAGGAGCGACATGGAGAAGTCGCTGTCGGCTCGCGAGAAGGCGGTGTCGATGTTTTATTAGAATCCAAGCCTCTTGGTGCCAAACGTGCTCGAGCGCGCCGAAGAGAGACGATCTACGCTCGAGGGAGTTAGCGAAAGTCGCACGGGAAGAGGGGAGACCGAGGCCTCCGGCGGTCCGCACCGCCTCGCGAAAGGGAAGCAACGATCAACTCCAGCTTGGACTTGGGTGCGCCGAGCGCCGGCGCGTAGGTCGCGACCGACGCGCAGCGCGGGCACGTCGCGAGCACAGGAGCGCCGCGTTCGGCTTATGGGACCTTTGGAGAATCATCTGGAGAGTGGAGGCGGAGGCGAGGCGGCGCGAGCGGCGCTGCGGAGCGGACATCGCGAGCAGAAAGAATTTCACAACAACTGTGTCGTGAGCAGAAAGAATGTTAGGCGGATCTAGTCGATGTCCTCCTGGTGCAGTGGGAAGCGCCAGGCCGGGTCCTCCACGCGCTGCTGTAAGAGGCCCGCTGCAGAATGCCTTCTCCGCCGCCATCGCCGCCGCGTGCCACAAATCAGACAAGCGCTGGGATTGCGTGCCACAGAAGCACAGATCTGCAACAAAAGAGATCTGACAAGCGCCGGGGTTGATCGACAGTGCCGATGCGTTTACAACTTTGTCCTCTGGAGATTATTTTCCAAAAGCCCCAAGGGTTTCGAGTTCGCCGTCGAAGCCAGGGACGTGTGAAACGATCGCCGTCACACCCCCGCACCGATTCGAGGCGGCGTTGCTGGCTCTGTGCTGGCGATGCACAGGTTGCTCCTCTACGCTCTCGCTGCCGTGAACGGCGGTCCCTTCTCGTATCTCTCGAGGTTCTCGAGGTGGATATCCTTTGGCCGCGTTGGGTAGCGAGGATTGGTGTGACGCGATCCACGCAGGCGTGGCTTCTGGCGGCCGACCGTCTTTGCACGGAGTTGCCCCTTCTCCGACTGCCCCGGCTAGTTCCCGGGTTTCGCGGGAGTGACCCCATGCGTCAAACCCGAGACCTAGCGCGGGTGGGTTGGAGGGGGCTCGCTGCAAGGAAGGGCGGTGTAAGAGGCCGATCCCCGCAGTCCGCCCCGTTCCTCCCCATCGGGCCGCGCGTGAGCGGCCTCGCCTCGCAGATTCGTTTTTCGCGCCTGGGTCAGGCGCGCGGGGCATCCCCCGGGTCGCTCGACCAGCGATCCGAAGAGTGGCCGCTATGCGAGGGACAGAGCGGGGCCCCCGGGGTACGCCTCGTCCGGCCCCCTCCGAGGGGGGAAGGGAATTGCGGGGTCCCCACGGGCGCCTCAGTTCGGCCCTCCCGAGGGGGGGAGGGGAGCAAGGGGGTGGGGGGATCGGGGCGGGGGGGAGGGGTCTCGGATTTCGTTCTCGACCGACCCATTGGTGCAAGAGGACTACATTTCACCTCCTCCCGAAGCGCTGCGACGCACGGTCACGCAGCCTCATGGCCGTGCACTCAACCGGTCGTTCGAAGCACAGACAGCGTCAGCCCATGGCGCCCTGAGATGCACACACACGCGCCGCGCGCGCGCACACACTCACACACGCACGCGCACACACACACACACAGATTGAGAAAAGAATTTAATAAAAACAACTCTCTCTCACAGCAGTCAGGCCGACACAGGTGCGGACTGTAGAAAAGAATTTTTGCGCCGGTCTAGTCGCGGCGACCGGGGG